TTTTAATTATCTTATTTATATGACTTAAATGCAGTATATTTTATTTTTTAATATTGAAATATAAGCATTTATTTAGTATTTATGTTTTAAAATATGAAGAATTAATTTTTTAATTATCAACCTTAAAATAATTAAAAAATTAAAATTCTATGAAATATAAAATAAAAGATGAAGTGAGAGTGCCACTTTAATAAGTAGAAAGTATTAATTTTAGTCATTTTAATACTATATTGGATTAAAAGATCTTTTATAAAAGTTTTACCAAATAATTTTTTACTCTAAAAATATCTTTATAAAAAATTTTACTAAACAAATTTTAAAAGCAAGATTTATGTAACAGATTTTTTTAACTAGGATTTCTATCAAACACTCCAACCACGCCAAACAGGCAAACCAGTTGAAATACTAATTTTATTCCTTTCGCCTCCTTGTTTGGCGGCAGATATATTCATCCAATTAAATAAATATGCTAACGGCTTTAGTAATGAACAAGGTTCCAAACTCTAACTAAATTCATAATTGTCTCAAAGTTCTATTTTGCTCAAATAAAGTACTAAAATAATTGAAATTCTCAAATAAAGTCATAATTTGATAGAAACTGTAAGGTCTAACATTGTTAACACTAAATGATTGTTGACTAAATATCCACTTAGAGTTGTTAATAATTGAAAAGTTCAGTTGATTATACTTGCTGAGTCATCAAACACTTTTTTTGTTTAGAACATGTCGTCAAACACTTTTATTATTAAAATCTAGTGCTGATTAATTGAAAATTTTCGGTTTAAGTTGGGTTGGTATTCAAAATCAGCCAAAACTGCATATTTTAAAATTTAGCTAAACATTAAATAAGGTCCCATACTTTCACTAAATTCACAACTGAGATCCCAAAATTCATTGCGCTCAAATAAGGTTATGAAATGAGGTCCAAATTGGACGAAAATTATTATTTGTTAAACTGGTCATTAATGTCGTTAATTATTCTAATTGGTTAAATATCTAAAATGCATGATCCCTTATTTTAATTTTATATTTTATCTTATAATAACCTTAAAAGTTTCAATTACCTCGAAATGCTTCTTAAGCTTATTTGTTTTGATGATTTGGTAATTTTATAAGATCTATAACTGAAAATTAATTTTTTATTTTAATTACGTGACATTTATGTGGCCTATTATAAAAGGTTGCATTATTATTTTTTAGAACGGTAACAAACAAATTATATCAATTAGTTGAATCGTCACCCATAGAAAGGTACTTAAATGAAAAAGAAACAAAGGAAATGTGGTATTATAGACAGTTCACAAACTCATTATCA